GACCGTCTTCCCACCGGATAGCTCCCCCTGTGCATCGGGGTCTTAAGTTAAACCGGGAAGAAATCTGAGACACCATTTCTATCGTGAACTGTCCCTTGAACAAAAGGTTCAGTGAAGAAATAGTACCTCTGCCATAGGTGTTGCGTACGTGTCATCGAGGCAATATACGATCTCAGTATTGAGTCGATCAGGATTGTCTGATAGCATACTGAGACAGCGATCGACGATTGCAGCCAGGTTACCAGCATAAATCTAAGCAGACCATACAAATTTAGATGGGTCCCACAGCACTGGCCGAAGGGTTCTACTCACAAATTGGTGTAATCCTCGACGTCCGCCATTCAGATAGGGTACGTTTCCATTTTCGGCCATTTGCATCAAAGTACGCCATGAAGATGATGGTTCTTCAGCATGGACATGCACTGGACGTAGAAATACTCCCTTCAGTGATGAGCCTGAACATTTCAACATCTTTTTTCTGGAGAAAGCAAATGCCTAGGACTAAGTGAGCACCTTTGGCAACGGCATTCCTCGCATACATTTCCGCTCTCGTTCGTGACTCTCCATATTCTCCAAGGATGTAATTTGCCGGATAATCTCTGCAAGTAAAGTTGAAAGAATCGTTTTGCGTGGAGCATCCTCTGTCGAACGCTTACTTGAACACCATTTCTCCGAGACCGTAATTGTCCTCAATCGGTAGGGCAGAGTAGGCATCTCCAACATGGACGAGATGGTTCACACTCATTCGAAGCATCGTATCGACCAATACCTCCGTTGCTAAAGATTCAGAAACTGAGCTTATTGCACAATTTACTGCGCTTCGAGGACGTTTTGAAAGGCGCTAGTCGCTGAAATTGTATTCAAATTGCCCCACAGTAACATAAGGTCCTATGTCTGTCTTTTAACTTGTATTTCTTTCGTGAAACTCTTTCGTGCCCACAGCCCTGTTTAGCCCTTTTGTAGACTGGGTGGGAAGGGATGATTCTTGAAATAAGTCGGGCTACTGAATCATAGCGACGTGAATGCGCATATGGTTCATACGATGGTCAGGCGATGGACACGCCAGTGAAGTTTGGTTGGTCTGAGTCGGATATCCACCCATGATTCAACCCCACACCATGTACGGGTGATAGCGCGTCACCTCCTACTACACCACCTCCTCTCTGTATCGATGCAAAATTATACAATCATAAAATTACGAAAAATTATACAACTTGGTAATCACCATTTGTAAAGGACTTATGGTTAGAAAGCAAGACATGACCAACCGGAAAGATTATCTTTCCACATAGCCTCGCTAGTCGCCTTGTCCATGTATGTCCATTGTAGCTGAGCATGAGCACAATGAATGACAGCTTTACATCCTTGCAAAGCCCGTTCCAGGGCACCTTCGTCGTTAAGGTCAACAGGGTAATGCCGTAGAACCACACCATCAATATCTGCAATAAAGCTCTTGAGAAAGAAGGTCCACTTCATATCCTATCAGCAGTTTCGTCCACTTCATATCCTATCAGCAGATTCCACAGAAGCTGTTGTTGAAATAAAGCCCTTCATCCAATTTTCCCTTCGATTGTTGATACTCGAGAAATAACAATTCTTTTATATATAAGAAAGGAAACGGATTAAGGGCGTCTGAGTTCACCAATCAAAAATGCAGAAGAATCTGTTCCACTCTGAGGCCACAGTGTAGCCACGTCATTGATGCAAGTGCATACGACCTTCAAGGGGCAGTAAATTTTGAGGTCGTGTATGTTCATAAATCATCAATCAGTTCACTGGCTTCATTTACCCTCTTTAAAGGAGTAATTACAAAGACATTATGGCTATCGATATGTTTAACGTTTCTGGGGTCGCGCCACGTACTTTACCCTAGGGCGTAATCATAATCGTATACATGTTTGCTTTTCGGAATTACATTGGGAGCGTTTCCTACATAGTGTCACCCAGAAACTTCCAGAACGTAAGGATGTGGAAGACGTAACTGTAAACATGCCCACTAAAGGCAGAGGGTAGCCGATCAAAGATTCATACTGCTGCTGAGTTGTCATATAATTCCATGGAATATAGTTTCCATTCATGTTCGGGGCTAGTATAGGCGGTCAAAACAAATACTTCTTCTATGCCCTTTTCGACGGTAACCTCGTACTATTTTCGTTACTTTTGATAGACCTTACTTTTATTATTCCCAAAAGGTAGGCAAGAATTTTTTCGCATTCTTCACAACCGACCACGGTTCCTAACCTATACTTCCGCTTTTCGACTCAAAAAAATGGTACCTCGAAATTATCGTGAGCCATGCGTTTCACTATCGAATTGCTCCACGATTTGTATTTCCCAGAAAGTGATACCAATTTCTTCTCCCATTAGATTTTGCACTTTACTAGCCGAGAAAAGGGATTACTTCATAGAGACTGAATTCGCTAGAGCGACATGCACTACGTCAGTGATCCTTGTTTGCCGACAAACTCGCTTTCTTCCTGGTACAATGAATCATATCTGCACTGTAATCGAGTCTTAGCAGTACATTCTGTTAAAAGCGGATTCACTGAAGGCAAAAATGATGCATATTGTGAAGAAATGAATTTTTAAAGTCATTCCGACACCCAATACATTTTTCCTCGAGCACTTCAATCTAATAGAAAGATGGGTTGTACTGTACTCTAGTTTCGCTGTCCTAGGCCTATTATAGTGATATAAACCTATCAGTTGATCCTGATCTGAGCTAAGAGATAAAAAGGGAAGGATAAGCCATCGGAAAAGGACCAAGTATGAAAGCTCGAAGTGTTGTGTATGTGGCTTATTCACTCATCGGCAGGGACCAGCTGATGTAGAGATCTGAACAACTACTCTTCCCCATGACTTCCCTAAAGGATGGAAAGATTCTCCCACTTGTTTGGTATGGGCGTTGATTCGACCTCAACCAAATATGTATAGCAGCATAACCTAACGCTACCTCATCTCCGGTCTAGAAACGTTTAAAGACAAAATTTAAATTTAAAGACAACGTTTAAAGACAACAGGCTCCCAAAGTTGGCGAGTTTCGGGCAAAATTTCGGCCTCGGACGGGATTTGTGCTTTCCGAGCACCGTGCTCTTTACCCTTACCACTACCGAGACCGTACGGCTACACTAACTCATTAGCAGTCACACCGCAAAGTGTTGTTGGGTCGGTCTCCATTGCTAAGCCGAAATTTTGCTCATGTATCGATATACATTTAGTACGTAGTTAAAAATTTCTCAGGAAAATATTTGTAAAGCAAATTAGTGTAAGGGATAGGAGAAAGTGAGAAAGTACTAAGTTCATTCGAAAGAAGTGGTCTCAACCAGGTTCCTCCCTTGGGAGCATCCTAGTTCCCTGACCGGTTGAAAAGCGAAAACATTGAGGTATCGCACAGACTCGATAGAGTTTGATACTTTTAATGGGAAGCCTGGTTGACCTGGACGAACAGCAACCAGGATTTGATCCCTTGACCTTACGTATGTAGAGTACGCGCCACTTCACACTGTTAAACCTAATCAAGCTAAAGGAACCGTTGAACCGGAGCAGAAATGTATCTTCTATCAAAAAATAGATAAAAATGACACAAATTTTGTTTTATCTTTGGAACCAAATCCTCAGAGGATTGGGCCAAACTCGTCCGTGACAACAATAGTCAACAAACGAGGCGAATAAATGTACAACCTTGAGACCTCAAGTATCAAGGGTTCAAGTGGACCAACCGCATTCGCCAAATGGGCAAGGATGGTCTACATACGAGTAAATAACTTCCTTTTTTCACTGGTTTTTCCTTCAAATAACTACCCAGATGGTGCACCGTATCTTCAATGATTCAGGACTAACACCTAATCACCCAAAATTTTCAAAAGTTCATGACCACTCCCAAAAACAGAAGCTTTTGTGGGGAGCTTTCCCTCTACTCATGAATGAATGGGAACGGGTGCCTTACTCAGAAGCAGACCCGAGATGGTAATCACCTGAACATGTACGTGGAATTCTGTCAATCAGACGAATCTCCTTGTATCGGCCGCATTTCATTAAACGCTCGACGACGTATCGGCCTACCAAGCCACTGGATCCCGTCACAGCAACGACATCCATCCTCAAAGAATTGTTTATTTACATATCATTGGGGTATCGAGAAAAAAAACAAATAAGAAATGATGGCGAATATCTTTGACTGGACCGTCCACAAAAAATGTTTCTCTTTAAAGAGTTCAGCGTTCTTACGGAAGCGTCAAGCGGATAAAGGGAGGAAAAGAATCTGATGGAGGTATACCGAAGGAGTTAGGAACAGAATCTGGTCGAAGTCTAGAAGATAGAACATATAAGGCTCGACAGGCGCCTTCAAATCGAGGAACCCACTTAAGTAGCGAAAATCAATTACTCCGTCGCTGAAAGTTCGGTGAGTAAGGTTAAGCGAGGAAGGTAGTTATACGGAGTGAGGTCAATTCTATGTAAGAATCTAGTCTGCGCCCTTGAAAAGCAAAAAAGTCTCTTGTCCCAGTTCTAGCCTCTGAATGACTGACCGCTAGTGGCCATCTGATCGGCATTCGGACGGAGCGCCTTCTCATGGATGGATAAGAAGTACATGTCCATCAATTTCGAATTTTTACAAAAAAATCGTGCACTGTTCCCAAACTTATCACGTCACTCGAGTCTGCTACAGAAAACGACTATGTCAACCATCATCGAGAACGGTGTAAGCGTTTTTCGATCCGTAGTCCGGAGGGCGATGTTCAGCTGGACGAATTTAGCCGAAATCTTTTCTGCGTCTTCGTTAAGTATACAAGAAAGCAGGCTGTCACATCTGCATAACTGGTTTTTTACCATTGATCACTGGAACCACAAAAGTCACAGCGCAATTAGTTCATGGGAGATCCCTTCAAGTCATGGTTCAATCTCAGTCCAAAATATCCCTCGAAGCTCTACAAAGAGAGAAACGCAGTCTGCATGAAAAACTTCAGTTCGTCAACTACTTTTCCATCGCTTTTCAAACATGTGCGCGAGAGGGACTACTATGAGGTACCATGACTCGTTCAAGCCCATAGTCTCGAGTTTATATGAAATGGATTTTGCAATTAGAAGATTGCTCAGAATTGAGGAAGAGTATAAGCCGAAGAGGAACCAAGGGGAGAATGACCTAAGAAAAAAAGGTATTCGCGTGAGTACAGACTATTGGAATACAATGAAATGGTGGCCTGTTAGCATAAGAGCAGTGGCCCACAGTATTATGTCCGAATCTGAGCTGGGCTTGTCCAGCACTCGGTATCAGACTCGATCGAAGGCTTGATCGGAATGTCTTCCGGCAAGCGCGTCTGCCGTTTCGTGTAGGAATGAACACTTAATTACAATACAAACAATTGAATAAACGTATAGAAAAAGAAGATAGAGGAAAACCGAATCCGTAATTCAGCTTCCATCTAACACGTGTTTTAGACTGAATCTAAGCCAAGGAATAACTTTCCACTGCCTGCATCAGAAAGGGAAGAGTACAGCGAATGCATGGCGTACTCCAACCGAAAAGATAGCCATGCTCTCCATTTGTAGAAGTTCTTCTAGGTTTTTGGAGGAACTCACAGTTGAAATTCTCCTTAGAGACTGATCATTCACGAAACGACGTTCTGCTTTGGGTATAGTGGTAGTAGAACCAGAAACAAGTGCGGCTAATTATCGCATGATCGACTTAGCACACTGACCAGTCGAACACCAAACTCTAGGCGGACTCAAAGGGCTAACTATGATAAAAAGATCGGGTCTAGGATCAAATTCCAGGAATTCTTGGAATTCTGAGGAAATGTTCGAGGGTACGTGGGCAACCAACAAAAAATAAAAGGAAAATGAGGAATTCGGTTCAGTACAATACAGGATTCGCAAGCCTAAAAAAGAGAATTCCGAGAAAGATCATCAGAAATCATTGAAAACGACTCTACAGGAGTGGGTCTGTCAGCAAAGCAAGCCGGGCAACGGAGCGTTAACAAAATACGACCGAATTTTGCTGATCGTCTACGACACTATGGAGGACTGATGGCCACATCATAGTGGCTGTGCAGCAAAGGGGTTCAACGAATAGTAGAGATGGAAGCAACTATTTTCGATAATGCCCAGTTGGATCAGCATCTGCCTCGAATCGATCAACGAAAGCGTAAGCATTTCATTTACTAGAGAGTATACATGGAGAAGATTGCTAAACAGGGACAACAGAAACAGGTTAAGCAATGCGGTCTCCGAAGCCAGCTGGCCTGATGGGCGTCGTTATTCGTGTGGGCGTGGGTGAAGTCCAGGATATGAAAGACTTTGGCTCGATAGCAATCTGTACTCGGCATTCGGACGGAGGTGAATTGCAGATGGCTGGAAAGATTAGTAGGGATTTCGGGACATCGTACGTGACCGTCGATGACAGAATTTGTCGTTCCACCTGAGAGTTCCCGTTCGATTCGTTGAGACTGACGAAATGATTGACCGCTACCTGCAGGGCTACGTCCTTTTAAGCGCCCTCTCATCAAAGCGACAGGTTCCCACAAGGAAATGCACTTGATTTGCCTACACTCTGCGTGAATTGAACCCATTGTACGGCCACATTGTAGCGTTCAAAGGATGATGACCTTGCCACCGCTCCATTGAGTTCGCAACATGGGAAGCGGACTTGGCTGTAAGTACCAGAATTCCCTTGCAGCTTTATAAAAATCAAATCGGCACATACTTCCATCCAGGTAGACCTGAAATCATTGGTTTTCAACAATGGATTAGATGGTCTGCACGGAATAACTGAACTGGTCTAAGAGACAAGGAAGCTCCGAAACTTTCAGCCTCGACTGTTGCTATGAATAGGGATCTTTTAGTAATGTAGTAAAAGGTCCTGTGTTGAGGCAACTTCCCTGATGATCAATTCTTGAGAGCCAAAACAGAAAAAAAAACGCTTACAGTGTTTTTTTTTCTAAATGCTTTTGACAGGAACCTTTTTTTCAGACGAGCGCCAGAACTAGACTCGATTCAGGGATAACCAACAATGTGAACCATTGGGCCACACTGTACCTAAGCTGCTACTTGTAGGCACCCAACTGAAAGTATTATTTCAAGGAGCTTCAGCACGAATCCCTGAAATCGTATCTCCCCGACCAATACGGGGAGTCTGAATCGCCCGAGTTCGCATTAACACTCACTTCGTAAAGTTGTTTGGTTTGGGTAACGCAAAGGCTGAACACCGATTATTGGTGAAAGCTACGACGATGCCCAATTAACGTTGCTACTACATCTACGGCTCGACTATGAAGTCCTGCACCGATATTCGACTTGAAAAACCAGGCCTTTCACCTTAATTGGTCGGCCCACTGATAGGGACTCGTCTTCAGAGGAAATCACTGGACCGTACTGGCCTGACGCTGCCCCCTCCGACAAACGGGTAGTCCCAAGTAAGGCCGCCGGCGTTGCGAAGACCATCAGCCTAAGCCTAAGTCTAAGCCCAAGCACTCACAACACAACGCTTTGTATATTGCATAGACCAAATATGTTATTCATTTCTTATATTCAATCTCCTTCGACAACAGCTCACACCTGTAAGGAGTTTCATAAGGTGAGGAAGTTGAGAACTGAAATGGTTTTCTCGTCCAGATTTCTGATAAACCACTTGGCTACCAACTTCTAGTAACAGAACCTGCCCTCACACACCTGAGTTCTTACTTCTGTTTCACAAACAATTTCTTTTCATATTTATTCATATAGAATCTGCCATACATATATACATACACAACGTGACGGTACCCGCTTCACTGAGCGAGAACCAACTTTTATAATATCTTTTCCTGAATCTTGTATCTCGTATCAAGACACAGAAAACTGGATCCCGTCACCAATCCACTACTGAAACCTACCACATTTAAGCGTTCCATCCTCCAACGAGTTGAAACGCCTTCATCAACACCCTAAAAATGAGCATATTGAGCTTGTGCCTCGTAGCCCTGATTATAAGTCACAAAGAATAATGTTCGAAGAAAAAAAAAAGATTATTTCGTCCAATGAACTGGTGAGCAGCCCTCACCATATCTTGATGACCCGGCTAGAAAAATAACCATCAGTCCTAGGCGACCCAAATACGTGAGAATGAAAATATTTTGAACTTTCATAGGTCAGTTTCAAAACGATTGCCGCTCAGATATGGCCCATAACCCCCTTTAAGTTCATTTTTCGGTCGTGAGGGCGTTTTTAAAAAATTCTACGTCATAGAGACATATCAGTTGCGACCACTGCTAGACAGTAGGGAACCAGGTAAACTTCAGAGTGCATTCAAATTTTGCACTTGTTGATTATTTCAAACACATCGAGTACAATGAAAGGTAACTAGAGTGCTCACCGTGCTTTCCTATTGCACTTGTATAGAGTCCGACCTTTGTCCAGAGGCATATTCATCCAGCAACCGCCTCGCGAAGACTCCAAACCTCTCATCAGACCGCCTCTTCGATTTCAGTACGTCAATTTGTCCTAATAATCTCAGAGATTTTGACTAAAAATATCAAATCGAAACAATATGAGCCATGAGATCAGAATTTAACGAAAAGTCTGTGAATGACAGAAATACCATGCGAAAAGTCTAGACAGGAGAAAGGAGTTGGAAAGTTGGAAACCAAGAAAAAAGCCAAAGAAAATGCGAACTCATTCGATCCTTGCCATCGATGCAATCAACCAGTCCAGGCAAGTACCCAACCATCATACTGAGTACATCTGTAGTTGTTAATTCTCCATCTCTTATATGGCTTCTGAAAGAAAACCGGATTCCTTAAATCGATTAGAGTTAGATTAATCAGCGCTGATCTCGGATCGTCTCCCAGAACAAGAAGATGTTCAATCCANGTACCCAACCATCATACTGAGTACATCTGTAGTTGTTAATTCTCCATCTCTTATATGGCTTCTGAAAGAAAACCGGATTCCTTAAATCGATTGAAGTTGGATTAATCAGCGCTGATTTCGGATCGTCTCCCAGCACAAGAAGATGTTCAATCCAACAATCATATCTCACAAATCAGTGTGTGTATGGGAAACCGGAAAGGGTCCCTCGACATTGCAAAGAATGCTATAGGAAACATACGACTCGCATGAGACATCTGTACACTTTTCCCCCTTCATTTCATTTGGACAATCTGCTGCTTCGGCACTCAGGTCTAGGGAAATACCGACGAAACGCTTCAGACGTTGTGGGAAATTATGGGACCTAAACTGACGATTCATGAACAATCAATATGTCTCTACTAAAATTCGAAGACAACGCCCACGAAACATCCGCTGCGCTCATGGTGAANACACCCTAAATTCCCTTCTCAAAGCTTCGATGATGCTTGAAGGGCCATTGGTAGCTCGGAAATGGAAATATAGTGCCGATACGCCAAGGAAACAAATAAATAAAGGACATCATCAAGAACCCTCAAAAATGAAGCCATAGTTTTGCAGTTCATGACGTGATTATTTGACAGCTAAAAGAGTAAACAAGCAGGGCTCGAGGAAACTGCTATATTTAGAGCTTTCTTGACATCAGCTGAAAAAGGGATATCTGTCCCTTCATGCCGCATTAAAGTTCGCTTTCTCCCGTCAAGTATACTTCGAAGACATAAAAGCTAGTGATAGGAATGAATAACCGCCATTGAGGCAAAGCCTGGCTTGTCATGCAAGAACAACATTAACCCCATCTCTGCCACACCCATCGCAGTTTAAGAAACTTTTCTGAACTTCCTGTGCTTATGCTGCGCACGTTTCCGTGGACGATGCCTTCTTACATATAAGAGGAAACAAACTGTGATAGCATACCTATACAACGGTTCCTTTTTGTTTGATACATCTTTATCACCGGACACAACTGTCTGCGTTGATTCGTCACAGAGCTCTTCAGCGCTAACGGGTGGACTTTCTCGATTATTCTCGTCTTTACCAGAAAAATGACTATTCCCTTCATCAACTTTCTTTCTGGGCTGAGCAGGCGATCGGAAGAGGATGTATACCAGTTGAAAGAAAGAAATAAATGGCCTACCTCATATCGTCCCATGGATTTGGAACATCCATAAAATTGTTTTGTACAGATTAGGGGTGCTCCATTGTGTGAGTGTCAGCAGGAAAAAANAAAAAAGCTATTGAACCAAGAGAACATTTGCTTTCTACGTCTACCCTGTCTACCAGGTCGTTTCACGCTTTAGCCTATTTGCCTATATATTCAAGAATTTCCCAATTTCGAATAACTGTGGATTTTCAAAGCATGAAACAATACCCAAAAAGTAAGAGATCAAGCAGTTCCTCCAAAGCTGACCTTTTAAAGCTGCTGATACCAATTGATTCGACCGTTACCTTGCAGTACATCAAAGGTTACAGGTTCTCAATGTTGCGTGGTAACGGTAGTACTAAGCAGCGTGGTGTTCGAACTTTAAAAAGCGCAGCGTTGCTAAAATCTGTCGTTCCCGAAGCCTTGCTCAGCCGAACAGTAAATTGACGTACCTTGACCAGAATGCACTGATGAATTGTCTCCCATTCTCATCCGAGCCAAAAGTTTTGAGCGAATCTTTTGTTCCTCATCGTAGTCATCCATCATTTCACGTTCGTCAAGCCATGAATTCGTGGATGGGGTGCGTGGAATGCTTTCGACCGACTTACTGGTTTGCTCACTCTGCTGGCTTTTCGTTGGATCTTGTTCGTCCCTATGACATTAGGATGACAAGATGGTGGTAGCGAGAAGGAAACTGTGACATAGGACTAATATTAGAAAATAAATGAACGAAAAATGAGGTACCATTCATTAGCCAGTAACCGATCAAGCCTAAGCTCTTCAAATCGTTCCACCGTCCGTCGAATAGTATTCCTACGTCGCATCAGAACACGACATTGTGCTCGTGCTGCTTCAATATCCGCTTCCAGCTCAGCAAGCTGATTCTGAATACAAACAAATACATTACCAAAGGTGGTTTTGGCACAATCATACCACAAACCTTCAGCTCTTCTCTTCGATGCAACGATTCGTCAAGGCAATTCATTCTATCTGATATTTCAGAATCCAATTCACATAACTGCGTCTGCTTATCTCTGAAAAACGGAAAGTTCTTCTTTCTACCTTCGTGAGTGATGGCACGCCACATACTTGAGCAAACCGTCCAACTCCGAAATATTAGATGGCAGAGGGCTCACCATTGATGGATCATCACCGGATGTGGTTAAGGAGCCATCCACCTATAACTCTATGTACAGCGCTGTGCTGTTATGTCAAATAAAAAGGCAAAACTGACTTTCAGTCTTTTAGAAGGCGGTTCATCGGAATCACGTCGACTTGCACAATTACTTCTGAAAAAAAGTATTAGTTGCAAAATACTCAAGATGAAAGTGCACAACTAATACACCCTTGGACCATTGACAAGCTTTGAGGAGTCGTGCTCAGCCATGAACATTGACAACGAGATTGTTCATCTTGCTCCACTAAGGTATCATCAGCCTCACGTTATTCTGCCAGTTTTTAACATCCGCAACTTTATCGCTAATAACTTATTTGTAAGAATCTAATATAAAGTTCGAATTGTATTCGTTTCCCTTTATTGGACTGTTACTCTTCGTATCTCTTCTCCAACTATCATTGTAGCAATAGTTAAATAAATAAATAAACTACGAGCAACAAAAAGATTGCAACTTCTCATCAAATCCAAAGAAGAAAAAATAGTTACCCTCGGAAAGTTGCTGACCTCGGCACATCTTGTGCCAGTAGCGCCCGGTCCGTCTTCCCAGTTGTCCTGATGGAAATATTTTTCGAGTGAAGAAGCTTCTTCTGAAATAATCTCAGGGTATCTTGCGGCTTTCAATTTTCAGAACAAATACGATATATGGACTATCAGCTCTGTTAATCTAACCTGATTCATTCAAATTCAAAGAAAAAAACAATTGAATCCTTACCTCATCGTTCGTAAGCATTGGACCACCACAGACCGACGCATTACTACTTTGTCCAGCACTTTCTGCATTACGCTTCCTATTAAGAATCACCTAAACGAGTAGAGGTGTATTTTTATCTATTAACGAGGCTTTTTGATATGGGTTGAAGTCTCTGTAGAATCTTCACCAACAAGAGGTGTTACACTCGCTCAAAAAATCAATAAAGAAAATTAAAAGGTTTCAAAAATTGAAGTAAAAGAAGAATAAGGTGAAAAAACATTAAGAGCTAGTAAATTTCCATCGAAGTGCATAACTGGCTAAATTCTCTCCCCGAAATCTGCCCTCAACTGACAAACCTTCGCGACAAAATGACTCGACTTTGGCAGTAATAGCTACTATGAACTGAAAAAGTCACTAAGGACGCGGCACCTCCAACCATTTACACTCAGCGTAAGGATTCACGCCGGCAATGTGAAAGGAATAAACACATTACGAATCCATTAATTTTCCTTAACCTATATGGAATTGTGACAAATAATTACCTGGTGTAGAAGCACTTCACGGAGCTGCGTTTCATCAGCATCGGAAAGAAAACGCTGACGTGACAAAGCAGCACCTGGAATTGAAATTTAATAAGCTCGAAAAAGATATACCAGATATACAGAAGCGCTCAAAAGTATTCGGCCGAATGCTTCTTCACTCATACATTTCAATCATAACTCCTTTCCTACTGGATCTAATCAAGCGAAATTTCAATATGTGCAGCATTGGCGAAGTGTCAATATCTACCACTATTGACCTGTATTTTTATCATGTTCCAAATATCCCAAAGGGCTTGAAATCAAAACCAACTGAGAACTGGGGCATTGGTGCTTCTAGAATTTCTTTTCTTTTTGCCATGTCCAAAGTGTACGAGCGCTCATGCGGAACACAGAAGAGGAGAAAAACGCAAATAAGGTGCGAATGACTGCGGACGCCACAAACTTGCTTTCAGCATAGTCCACAAAAGTCTTTCCCCTAGTTATGTGGACGAATTTCATGCGAATTACTCCACTGAAAAAAAAGTTACGGCAAGTTAAAGTTGGCCGAATACTTTTGAGCGCTACATTATAACTTCAATTCGACTTAACAGTCCACAAAACGAAATATCTTTAACTAATCTCTGATCCTTGTAGCATTATCATCACTACGACCAGTATCAAAGAAAATACTTTTCATTTTGGAAGTCACCTTCATTGTCCCTGTTCTCGGCATCCGAATCACTGCTTGAATGTGAAGACTCGACATCCATTCCAACGTCCTCATAATTATCAGCTTTATCGGGCAAACTTATTAACTCGGGTTTCGGTGGTGTAGGAATATACTGCATATTGATAGGCTTCGGTTTCTGAGAATATGAAGGCACATAATTGGGTTTATTGGCAGTTGACAGTTGGGCTACTCTTCCACCTCCTTCACGCACTTGGATACGTAGGGAAGAAGGATTACAGCTTCCGACCATATCCGCGGATTTCTAAAACACTCTTAATAGACATATGGAAGCCGCAAGCCAGCAGTTCGCACTGAAACACCTCACAGCAGAGTTGGACATAGAACATTGATATGAAACCTACGACATTGTACTTACTGACTCTTCGCATATGATCCACTGCCTCATGTTTAGAATCTCCATTACTGATTTCATAATTGAATCAACCATATTCATGCCTTTATTTTACATCTATTCTGGACTCTTGTAAATTGATCGGAGAAACTACCACCTCACTACTGACTCCATTTAGAATTACCCTCAAAACTTACGAGCGCGGCAATGCAGTTATCAACGGTGGATGTATTCATCCAAGCTTAATTTTTGCGCGAGTATTCATCTATGTCCTTATCAAAACCATGGCAAACAGACCAACTTGAACAAAAGGCCTAGTCCCACCACTCCAATTTGTTCTTACCACATTGTTTGACATCACAGGTAAGAAGAACATCAAACTTACAGGCAGGATAGGAGGAGCTGGTGGAGGAGGCAACAACAAAATATCCTTATCATTCATTGGTGACTGAAAAATGGAAAACTTCAAAGCCAATAAGCTGAACCAATGTACAGTGTAAGCAACTACCATACCAGAGGTTTAGGACGAGGTGGAGTAGGCGTTGGCGGAAGAGGGATATGGGGAAGAAGACCATCAAAACTATTGAATGATCGATTATTCATGGATGTGGTAGATGTTGAAGGATGTGAAGAACTGAAAACTCTCATTGATTCTTGACAAAAAGGGACAGATGTACTAGCGATATAGCTCACTACGCGAATCGATTTCTGTTTATTAATGCGCCTAATGTATGCGCCCTACATGGCACTGAATGCGTGCACTGAACTAGCAACACCCCGCGCTACTGCTGTGTTCTTGTTGCTGAAAAGTAACCGAAAAAGTCAGGAAAAATTGAAAGATCCGTCACCTCGGTAAGCTCGATGAAGTCGTGTTTTCTATTGATCGTAGTCCTTCAGAAAAAGACCGACCAGAAGAAAAAACGTTGGCCTTATTATCTAAACACGACTTGGAATAACTAACGCAAAAAATAGAATATATGCTCATGATACCGTTGTTCGTGTTGACTGTGACAGAGATATGATCGCCTGAGCCCACTACTCGTTTGAAATGGCGATTCTCAACACCGCAATGTGAGGATGATGCTTCCACGATGCGTTCGGAAGTTGAATTTCTTTTCTTCTCGTTCAGTGTTGAAACAACAAACCCAGCGCTGCTGTCTAAATATCGCCCAATCACGTAGGAAAAAACTTAAATAAAAGTAAAATAAAATCAAAAAATCTGACCAATTTTAGAGGAAGGAAGAGTGATTGAAAGTTCAGAGACAATGTGCTTCGCATTAGGCGTGTCCGTTCTTCCCTGTGTGTTCTCGCGCTTTCTTCTTGAGCGATGTGATGAGTTAGAGTGTATCGACGAACTAGCACCTCCTCGATCTTTGTGTTCCTGGCTATTAGAGCGAGCGCCTATGAAAAAGGAAGCAATCTTGGGATAGTATAATACAATAGAAAAAACATCAACAGCAAGTAAAGAATTACTACCTGTCGTTGTAGAACGCGTAGATGATTTTGCTGGCCTCTTTTCCGATATATAGCTACGTTGCGTTGAATGCCGTCTATGATTTTCTGCAGTTCGACTAGAAGTCCTTTCGGATGAACGTCTTCCGCTCTTATCGCTTGAGTCCTCTCTTCTATCCGAACGGGTCGATTTCCGCGTCACTTAAACCATTCAAATATTTGGAAGGTTTCCAAAAGACGGGTTAACCGTCATTCAAATGAACAAAACGCTAGTGAAGCCACTCTAATATGACCACAAGGAGGATGCCAAGATGAGATTTGGAAAATTTTTGGTATGGGGCTAAGCGAAAAATAGGTAGCGCAAAAGGGGGNGGGGGTCATGATCGGAGAAACACTTCTAGGGATGTCAAGAACATACTGTCAGAAAGAAGAATTCGGCGAAGGAACAAGTTTTTATAAACTTTTTTCTACTGATTTCCACTGCCACAATTTACAGAATTACGAAAACTTGGAGTTATGCGGTATGCATGCATGCATGAGTCGTTGCCTGTTGCTAGAACCGAAGCCCATCATTGAAGGACTCTCGCTACCCGCAAAAATGACTTTTGAAACTTTCTCTGTCTGTGCTAATAATTATCACAGCTCATATGTATACAATGAACACTAATACTAATAATAGTAATACTTGAATGAGGGATGGATAGCGATAATCTTCAAGTTTCCACACTCTGAAGAAGGCAGTAAAAAACCGAAACGTAAGTTGATAAGAGCCTGCTTATCACCTTGACAGCAGGTTTTATAGAAGCCGTGAAAACGTTCTCACAGTTCGGCAACATTCACATGAATGATGTAGTGGATACAAACGCGAAGATGCAACTTATGATGAAAATGCCTTCTTGAAGTTTTATTTTACCCAGGTATCTCGTGGTGGAGGACTGGTACGCAAATATAAACTTTCCAAGAGTGTGGTTGTGCTGATCACACGCTGATGCAGAGTAAATTCGAAGAAACAGAAACACAACAAAGCAGCCTTGTCAATTTGTGAGGGATGTATCAGAATAAGTGAAAATGTCATAATACTAAATTTCGACGCACCATGACTAGTTTTTCCCGCTTTCGACGAGGAAGCCTCCTTTTTTGTTTGCGAAATTGGATTTGGTGATCCCGATCCATCTGTAAACGCGGTATATGAAATGAAACTAAGATCATTTCAGAAGACAACACATACCTTCATCTGTCACTTCGCCATCTTCCCTTTCCTTTTCTAAAGTGTTCTTGTTTTGCATAGACGCTAGGAGTTTCAACCTTATAGATCGTGTTTCTTCATCTTCATCCTCGATCTGAAAGGTTAATTAAACAGTTCCTCACTCTGCATTTAAGCGAAGCGTTTTTGAAATAAAAGAGTAAAACAAATAAAAATGCGACTGAACAAATGTAAGGTCTAAATAAAGTTCAACTACATAGGGTTTTCGCATGCATTCACATGCTATGACTACTCGTTCATCTACCGCTCACATGCTGCCACTTTCTCTCTCCAGACGCCCAGAAGCCTACTAAGAGAATCTCACACAGTTTCAAGAAGCATATGCAGTAAAGTTTTCAGCTGCGCGATAGGTGACGTCTCCGACGATCTCCTTACGTTAAACGTAACTACCTAATGACATTGAGCTCATGTCGAGTTCTGCACTGACAAACACGAGTAGCTGATGCGCAGTTATTTGGAATAAGTCAACGTTCCCTACTTCCCCTAGCCTTTGAGTGTTCGAACTTGAGGAGACATAGGCGGCAGGATCACAACACTGATGGTAGGTCAGAGAGGTAATTTTACTGTTGGCAGAGACTTAGATGAGCCTTAGAAGGGCAAGAGTAACATTCACGGACTGACGTGATCGTGAGTTCTTGGTGATAGGGATTGATAACAGCCGATTAGGGCTAATAAGAAGCTATATGAGGCTAGGACCACGAGTCTGCGTCGTGATGGTTTGATTAATAGTGGAAGCATGACACCTAGGGAGNNGACGGGGATAGAAATTTTTATGGTTGTTCATTTTTGAGATTAAATGCAACAGTTAGAAATATTCGAGCGTATGTAATAGGCGTATCGCCCAAGTAGGATCTGTAGTGCCCGCGTAGTTGGGCAATTCCCCTCCGAAAAGTTGTGGTCAAAAATCCATTTGTTCTGAAAAGAGGAGTAGAAAATCAAGCCTCATTGTGGTCATGTAGAAAGGAGGTGGGAACCCCTCATAAGCTGGGGATCCAACCGGAATCGTACATACTCACTGATATGAGAGCGAATGAGTAAGGATAGCAGCGAATAAGTTCTAAGGGCAAAAGCAAATGGTTAGTAACAGCGACAGTCTTCCTCCTTCCTGAATCGACCTTGCCCCTGAACACTAACATCCGCTACTATAATGATTGATCGCGTAGTTTTCTGTATATGCTGTGTGTGCTAGGTGTATGTGTGCACACCTGTGGATGATTTCCCTGTTTGTCACAGAATCCAACGCGGAAACCCACAGATTCCAAAGATAGAGCGATTAATTTGCCTTATCTGAACTCTTCCTAAGCGCACACGGTAAAAAGGTTGAGAGAGTATGGGGAAGTAGGAATTTCGCTTCGATGGTAATGAACGATAGTGTTGAATCGGTCTTACCGACTAAGTGCTAGTCTGACACTCGAATTTAGACATAAAATGGTGCCCAATGTAAGCTGCGCGAGCCGAGTGAGCCAACAAATGGATGATGTTATCTCAATGCAAGGTAGATGAACTGCAGTGAAGTACAAAGGCGTGGGCCTTTGTTCGAGATCGAATGCACTTTATGGATGTCGACTCACGTGGCACATCGTTCTGCTCGATGAAAATGACTGAAATAAAGACTGAAAAAACCGAAAACTTTCGTCTAGAAGAGAACTCTTTGTTCTGAGATTTTGTTCTGTCTTGAGTACTTGGCCATTTATGAACGGTTCGTTCGAGGAAGCATTTGGTGGAGCTAGTTGGAATGCGCCGAAGAAAGAAGATTCCAAGAGGTCACGCTGTTAGCACAAACTCAATAGTTCGTTTGCGTTCAAAACAATTCAGAGGATTCCATGAACAAGAGAAAAGCGAGAGGCAAGTGAGATAGATTGACTGCTTGTGATGCGATTGGTTACTCAGCGACTGCCAAATGAATCTGCTTACGAGCATAGAAAAGGATCTGAGCATTGAAATACAACAGAAACCGCTCAGGCGCAATGTGAAGCCGAAAACTGCAAGTGAATAACCAGCACCACCTAAAAACCCTAAAACGAGTAGTCGCCCTAGCAACAATGTTCTTTAAAAGAAGATGTCAGGAGAGCTCTTCCAGACGATGGCATACTCTACATTTTTTCTTCATAAGACTAAATTCGTTGTAAAACGCAGGAAGGCGAACTTCTAAAGCAGAAAAATTTTCGCAAAAATAATTAAGTTTTACTGCACCACCAGATTTCGCAATAGCCGCGGTTTCTGACTCTTATGGTGGAGACTCCAGCAATATGCCGCATTGGCACTGACGAAAATTGACTCGGCGTTTTTTTGGGGACGCTTTCCTCACCAAGAGCCCTTGAAATGAGTGGGCAGAAAAGGTTTACGAATAAGCATGCTTAGATGGAATCTATAAACCTAAAAGCAACTCTAGTAAGGTAAAATGTAAAACCACTGTTTGGGAGCTGCGCACCCGAAAGTGAAACATGTCGAATTTTCTACGTTTTCGCTATCCCTCGAGCATTTTTCGAAAACAACAGAAACGAATCTCCTCGTTTACAAACTCTATGGCTTTCTCTTTTCTAATTACCGATTTTAAATCTACACCTTGACTTTTGAGATAATCTACTCTCATACTGCAGTCTGAGTTTCTGACAAAGATAGAAACTATCTATGAACTAATCCATTCGATTTTTCTTGAAATTCATCGACACTGGAAGCTGGAGCTGCTCTATTCACCATCAATGGATAGTCTCATATGACTGATGTACGCGTGAGTTGGTTATGAAGCACCACACAATCTGCCATTTAAGATGCCTTGGTCGATGTCTAAGTCGACCGAATACTTCATCACTACTCTGCTATACAATTAACATCTTAAATACATTCTTACTTAATACACCCTTTTTCAAGCTCACTGGCCTTTACCATTTCGCACGTCATGTTTCCATACTACTTTATAATGACCTCATTGTCAATAAAGATCACACTAAATATTACGTCTTGATATTCAAAAAAAGATCGCAAGAACATCAAACTCACTTCTAATCGGCCATCACTTTTGGATCCTCC